CCAAGAAGAAACACCGAGTGACGTTTTCCTTGAATTTATACTTCTCTTAATGCTACTGTTTACATCTTTACCATCTGTATTAAACAATACTGTATATCCATTGTATATCATTCAACCATAAGTACAGAATAACCCTGTCGAGAAGGCATCTCCATACAGTATATATTATGTTATAGCTACTGTAATGACCCCAGTTAGCACACACCCATTTAGCACTTAAGTTGTCCAGGACTTCATCCTGAGCATTAAACAAGGTATGCCATACTAATCTCTAGACATTTTCAAGTTTGTGGATGTCTTTCAATTGACAGTGTTGCCACACTCCACCAAAACTAGGTCCTGTAGATTAGCAGCAAAGTGGATACAGCACTCAACCATCTTCACTTACCCCAACTGTAAAATTAGGTATTCATTCAAAGTTAGGTGAAGTAGAGGTGCCTTGGGTGTAAGCCAATAATCCTAAGGAGGCAAATATTGTATCCATCCAGGCACTGCATCTCATACTACATTGGTGGACTTTACACAGTACGTAATAGTAAACCAGGACCTTGTACACTTTACACCCATATAAAACTTTCCATGTCCACATGAGTGAATCATCGCTGAATCAGATTTATCATCCAGTTTAATTTACTGAGTTTATAGTTTAAATAATTCCCAAACCACAAATTGCTGTAAAACACCATGCCTAAAATATTTCCTTTTCTGTTCTCTTTATTTTTCTAATTCTTCACATATGGTGTCTCACCTGTATACAACGACAGCAAAATCTGTGTGGACCCCGTTGATCAGCTTGGCAAACACCTGAGACTTCACTGATGCAGGTCGGTCTTGAGCACTTGTAACAGAGGCTTTCAGACTTTCCACAGTATCATCTAGCAATGAGGCCATAGCAACCTGCAACATGTTAAGAAATTATTCATGGTTAAATGACAGTCCATGTACAGTATTGAAGACAATTACTACTTAGCATAACAAAACCTGTTACATTTGTGGTAAAACGACAGACTGCAGCATGCAGGGAGAAAAATCCTGTAACTGAGTTGAAACCTAGTTAAAATGTACAAAACGGTAATTGATAATCAAAACTGTTCACAATTTGCAGCATTGTGAATCAACATTTTCGCCATTTAAGGAGCTTTTTAATTACCTAAATACTGTAAGTTCTATAGCAGACCTGTAAAGCACTGTGTAAGATATGTAATCCACAGACACCTTCCAGTTGCCATCTGATGTTCTTTTAAAGCCAAATAAACTGGGCTCAATTTAAAAATCTTGGGCCCTCGGTGTTGCATCTCAAAAGTCCTCTGCCCCCAAACCTGTCAAAGAGGCCTGACAACGCAGCTAAAATCAAAGCTCAATCGTTCACTGTTTAAGCCACATGTATGAACAGGTCCTCATTTGCTGGGTGTGTGGGTAGGAAGACTGCTTGGGTAATTCTTTGATTAGCTAATGTTGTCATGTGACCCCATGGGATGCCTGTGATAGGCTGATGCATCTCCCAGATAATCCCCCCAAGCCTAGCGTCAGGGTATGCTTAGTTCATTGTTCGCAGCCATTCTATAAGGTTGATCTCACGCTCACTCATGTTTGTACATAAACTTCCACTGCGAAGTCCTGGTAGAGTACACAATCAGCCAAGAATAGTGATAAGACAAACAGTGATTACACTGTGTAATATTACTGTAAATTAACAGTTAGTATGAACACTGTGCATATGCTACAGCACATAGAAATAGAGTGTTTGTGTAGTGTACTGTACATTACTGTTCCAGGATACAATCAACCAAAAATACAGTGTTACAGCAGTGTTAAGACGTGTCACTCCTGATTTGCCTCTGTCCGTCAAGGAGGAAGAGGACAGCGAGAGTTAGCACCGCCTGCCACAGTAGTTGGTACAGGACAAAGCAGGACATCATGTATCATCATATCACCATTTGGCCTGCCTGCATCACAAGCTCAAAGCAACAGTATCTGCTGGTGAGTACATACTCTATACATTTTAATTTGTTTATTTATATTGCGAAATTATGTTGTTTATAGTATACTATACAAAATATTGTGCATGTACAGTGGTGTTTGCATAATAAAATACACCTCTGTGTATTTAGACTCTCGGATAACATTTCCCAGCACCGGTTTAGAATCTCAGAAAACTTTTCCCAGAACCCGGAAACATTCCAGGGATGCGTGATAGTTTCTGTCCACGTGAGATACTTACAGTAGTTTAGACTATCAAACTTTTCCCAGTAACCGGAAAATTCCAGGGATGTAGGAATTTTCTGGGTTTGAGTCGTCTCGTTACCCGGAAATCTCTCATCCCCGGAATAGCTGTCCACCAATAATATAATTCGAGCTAATGGGGATATCACTCGTATATAATGGGAGGCAACTATTACTAAATTAATAAAGTAGTTATTATTGGTGTTGGCTAAGTGTTCATACTGTTTATTTTGTTTCCAATCTCATCCATACAGTACAGATGTAAAATTATTGCTGTCCTGTTCTGCATTTTGTTTTAATTTTTTTTTACCTTATTTACCTAATAGCCACTAGAGGTGGCCATTTCAAGGGAAGGAAGCCAGAGGCCTGTGTAGAATCCTGTCCAGGGCTATTTTGAAGATGAGTAGAGTATTGTTCGTGAATCCACAGCTATGGTTAGTAGACTGTTCCGTGTTTATTGCTGTATTGTACTGTACTGCCATATAATCACTGTACACCAAAAAAATCTCATTAAGATAACATTTTGTAACATTTTATGATGTTTTGAGGATTTTTTTGTTTTCTAAAGGAATATATTTCAGCTTTTATAATGGGAGTCAAAGGAAAAGCATACTTGTACAGGTATTCCAAAAAGATGATTTAATTTTCTTTTCTCAGAAATGGAACCCTTTTGTAAATCGGGGAATAACTGTACAGTACCTGTAATTATCTGAAAAGAGCAGTGGCTTTCAATCTATGGTTGATATAGAAAGATTTTCGTTGACATTTTAAATTCAGTACTACTGTACAGAGAATGGAACAGAGGGAATGAGAGAAAATGATACAAGAGGCCATAGTGGAAGTAGATCTGAACAATGACCATAACACTGACTTGTGAAATGTAACATCTTTGTACGAGTCAAGTAACTCACCACTGTCTATACCATCCAGTGTGTTACTCACCACAATATGCTCACTTGTGATTTCAAATATTTTTTAACATTATTGAGCTCGTGTACTTCAATGTGCGGTTGAAAAGATAAAGGTTGCTATAGAGCAACTTGTGTTAATTATGTTTTCAGTGTATACATGTGTTCAGAGAGCTCCAGCTAGCACCTTGGGATATGATAGGAATAACTATAATACATCTGATTAATTTGCAAAAATCTATTGACGTAGTGTAAAAATAATTAAATTACATAGACACACACACTCTGTAGGAAAATAAGAAACTTGTTCAATTAAATGTTTTATTGATTTACTAGTTTAATACATTTTGAAATAAGTTATTACTGGATAAAATGATAACTACCAAACAACAAGGCATCAAATAAATTAACATGAGACTACTAATTCACTTAATATTACATCCTTTCAACAGGTATTTAACAATTGAAATTCAGGTAAACCCCTTAAGACAGACAGCAGAGTTATGAGATCAATAAGCAGCAGCCACCCAGCTTGTCACCTGTACCTAGCCAAAACTGATACAGCACTGTATAGTACATACATGTACTTATAAACACACCGAAGTCAGCCTAGCAGATTCATGTTATACCAATCGGTAGATGGGAAGGTAATTGAGTCATTTGGTCATCCAGGCTTGCGAGGCGATTGGCAGTCAGGGAAGGCCTGAGACTGTAATGGGAAGTCTCGGGGCACCAAGAAACTTTGTCCAGAACATGTTCGTCTATTAAACCAGAAATGAATCATGTTTTAGGAAAAGTGCTCCTTACCTGGTGAATACTGTAAAAATTATATCAAGCTGTGTGAACACACATTAACCCTGGGATACTTGTACTGAGTTTGAGACCTCCACTGTGAAACCACCCTTATACAATTCCTAAGATAAACAATTTCCAATTTTGATTCTATTCCCAATTAATCACATTACAGTACAGTATACTTGTATTACAAAATGAGTAGATCATAGCCTGACCTGAAAAGAAGTTTAGACAAGATCGTTACAAAATCAACTTTTCTCATAGCAAATTCCTAGATAATTTCCTGATAAGGGTTCCTAAACAGTCCTGGGATTGTAAAACTGCTGAAAAATTAAGGGGTTCCTATGCATTGTACTGTACTAAGTAGGGAAGGAGTACAGTAACAAACCCTACCCTTAATATGTGGAGAAAGTTTTGCAATACTTGACCAAAGGTTCCAGAAAAGAGGGACCACAAACAATAATGTCCATCCTTTAAGATCACCAACAAAGATATAATGAACCCACTGATCCTGTGAGTGATCTATATATACTGATTTTCCAGTTACAATCCTTGATTTCATCCTTCCTGTGTTTCCTCTACAGTGGAGCACCTGGGTTCTAACCCTTTACACTTCATGGAAAAATATGAGAGTCACTTGGGTCAAAAGTAATGTTAAAAAAATCTATACCTACCAGTACAGGGGGCCCCCAAATTCGTGGGTGTTAGGTTCTCAAAATGGCTGCGAATCGCCAAATAATCCACGAATAACATTTATGGATGGGCCGGGGGGTACACTTTTACTTGTGTACAAAGAAATGTATATTTCCTTTATGTGTTGCCCTTCGGACAATTATTTCTTTTACCTGTATTGTATATAAGTTGTGTGTGTAGACACACACACAAAACACATACAAATAAATAATAATAGAAAAATACTCTTTCAAATACTGTAACCAGAAACAAATTTATTAAAAATGTGGCAATCTATCCCCCCAAGTCCGTGCTTTATTAATAAAGTAATAAAGCACGGACTTGAGGGTAGACTCACATTTTTAATAAATTTGTTTCTGATTATTTGTGAGAGGATTTTCTAATTACATATTATTTATTTGTATGTGTTTTATGTGTGTGTCTACATACACACACACATATTTACAATACAGGTAAAGGAAATTACTGTCTCTAGAACGAATGACGCCTTGTCTCGGCCTTGAAAATGCTGGCAACTTTAAAACTACCCACAGACATTCATGGGTACATCCAGGGTGTCATCCGCGAATAACAGAGAACCTTGAATTAAAAATCCGCGAACTTGGGGGTCCCCTGTACTTCATTATAAAAAAATAATAATAAAACTTGATTAGGATGGAACAACTTACTGTTGTGAAATAAAGGTCAAAACAAATAATGTACTGTACCCTTAGGTGAAATATCCACAATTTAATTTCATCACCAAAATAAACACTTTCATACTGATTTGTCAAAAGTTCATATACATTTTGCCTTCCAAATCATTATACCATAATAATTCATATTTTGGGATTACAGATACTATATACAGTATAGTCAGAATAATCTTTTCTTTATATAATTTTGGTTGACTAATATTAGAAATGCCCCATAATTATAATTTACAAGAATAACCTAGTAGAATTTACCGGTGCTAAAATCTTTGACATGGCTTAACCACAGTACTGTGTGCGATTACATGTACAGAACAGTAATGTACAGTACAGTATACTGTACTGCACTTTTTTTTTATATCTGGCAGGGGGTCACACTACAGTTTACATGGCCTCCTTGCATTTTAGTCCAAGCTGGTTGTTTTAGGACACCAAGAGTTAAAAGTCTGGAATAGGGCCCCAAGCTTACTGTGTTTGTTCTCCTTGACCATTATATGGTGGCCAACATCATTGGATGTCTCATGTTCCTTGCCATTTAAGTGTTGAAGGACAATGGTGGGTATTTGTACTATGTTCACCTGTGCGTTTTCCTTAACTCACGCTGTTTCTTCAATAGTTGTGCTGCAGCTGCTTTCCTTTCCTCCATCTTTCTCTGGTCAGAATCTCGTTGGCTGATAGTCTCCTTTTCTAACAAAGCTTTATACATAACTTCTTTTGTTAGCTTTCTAGGAGGCTGATAATCCTCTTCATTATCATGCATAGCGGAGGACTGTTGAGGGCCATTTGTTTCAGATTCTTCAGACTTCTTTTTACGTTTTCTCTTTGCTTTAGGTGGCTCAGGTACACAGCTGCTACTTTCCGATGGGTCTATCAATAATGTTCTCGATGGTTTAGGAGGCGTTAATTTGTGGGTTGTATCTGGATGCTCCTCTTCATCTAATACGCCATTTTCCATAACTTTACCCGGTAAGTCTTCGGAATCTCTCGCATTTTTCTTCTTAGACTTGCCCCTAATGGAGGGTTTCCGATATCTGTCTTTAATTGATGGTGTTCCAGAATTTGGTGGTGACTCCCCTTTTGCCTTTGCAATGGCATCTTGAACTCGTTTACTGATTACTTTTGATTCTTTTACAAGCTTAATATTTGTAAAGTAAGAATCTATTCTCATCTGAGATGTTTTCACTCCCAACTTCTTCATCATTGGTTTTAAGATCTCATCAGCCTTTTCTCGGTTCCAACCAAATTTCTCCATTGTAAATGTACGTAAAGCTTCTACATTAGGAACAGACCAGGTAAACTTTTCTCTAGATTCATCCACTTCAGGTTTCAGATATGCTTCATAAACCTTTTCATTTGGAAAGGATTCCATGAGCATTACTTGAGACATCTTTTGTTTAACTTTTGAAATGTAAGAAGATGTTACATTTTTGTGAGCAACATTCCACCATTTCTTAAGATTTCGAAGACACTCGATACCTTCACCAGGGAATTCAACAAGGACCTCCATAGCTGTTACTGCTCCAACTGACTCAACACCTTCAGTATAATCACTCCCTGTTAGGAGGGCCAAGGTGATCATTTTGTTTCGATTTAATCCAATGTTGGCTTGAATATTATCTACATTGAAAAATTCAACGTGTTTAGTTTGATTAAAGAAATTTTTATATACCTTGTTACCCCCAAAGAGAAATATATCAGAGTCATCTGTTATAGTGCCAGCAGCGAGATTAGCAGCATTAAGAAAGGCACACTGTGCTTCAGCTTCCATTGGAGCTACAAGGTAGGGTATACCGAAGAGCTGCAAAAGGTGTTGTGACTCTCCATACATTTGGTCATTCAAATTCGAGGCAATTCTATCAGATTTCTGAGCCTGTGCTATAAGAGACTTTTGTTCTACTGCAAGTTCCCCCTCCAGGTGTTTGAGTTCATCCTCAGAGTAATTCAAGGGTCTCTCAACTTCCATAACATTCTCAACTTTTGTTCCTTCTTCCACCAAATCCACTACTTTATCATTTTTAGTTGTTAAATCTATATCCATTACTTGTTGATCACTGCTGGTTCTATGTCTGCTTTCAATATTAGGCTCTTCCTCAACTCTACCTTTACCTTCTACTGACAGTGATTTATACTCTTTAGTTGTTTGTTCCATTTCAGATCCCAAATTTGTTTTACTCTCTGGTTTTGCATCACTGTGAGCATGTTTCATTTCATAATTAATTTCAGTATTCATTCTATTTGTCGATATTTCTTCCACCTCTATAAAGTCATTGTCATCAGCATCACAAGTAAAAGGCATTTGTTTGGTGTCTGATGTTGGTGAAACTGTACAAGTCTTATTTGAACCTGCCTTTTCTCCTACTTCTGAATGTTGACTAATGACTGTAGGAGTTTCATCAGAATCACTATCATCACTGGAGCTCATGATTTCTACATCGTCTGCATCTTCTTCCCCAACCTCATGGGCTATGTTAAGCTCACTCTTGTTTCCTTGTGAGGCAGTATTTACCTTATCTTTAATTTTTAATCTTACATGTTCTTGTACCGTTATCTCTTTCTGTGAAGTATTAACTTCCATAATGTTCTTGGGGGGCTCATCTGATGCTTGATTACTACTACACACTGGTACTATTTTGGGCTTTTCCTTAATGCTGTGTTTCTCTGAGGTAGATATATTATTACAGGTACCAGCAGAGACTGAGAACTCGTCCTCCAACTTGGAATTAGTTTTAGAAACTAATAATCCCTCACTTGTTTTGCCACTTTTACTCAAGTTTTCTGTACAAGTAAGAGGTTGAGTCTCACATTGTGGTTTAATATATTCACTTCCATTTTTTATATTTTTTATATTGTTACTGACAGATACAGGATTTGAAATTAAACTTTTCTTAGGTTGGTGAATAAGATCAGTAAAGATGTCTGTAAAGATATCATCTTCCATTTTCAATGGTTTGACATCAAAATCTAAAGAAATTTTAACAGGTTTTAAACTTTCACCATCAAGACTATAAGTTTCTTTCTTAACTTCTTGACAACCAAATTTTCTAGTGTCTAAAACAGCCTTTTTGGGGGACGACTTAAGAGAATTTGTGTGTACCAAATCATCCACTTTCTGATGAATGATCTTCATCCAAAGGCTGTCACTCTTTGTTGCTAATAACTTATCTATATTGTTTCCATCTATTTGTTCTATCCCCACCTTCTCATCATCACTTTTGGGTATACCTGTATTTTCAGATGGAGTTTCTGAAACTTCAATGAAGTCTTCATCATCTGATGACAAATCAGCATCAGGGTTAAAAACAAAACCTGGAGCCTTTTCTGATGTCGATGGTCCATCTTCACTTCCAGATTTACTCTTTAGCCTACTCTGGTTATTGCTGTCCTGCTTTATGAGGGCAAGAATTTCCTCCTGTGTCAAGCCACTGTTCTCTAAAAGTGCACCAACAACATTTAAAAAACCTTCTTCCTCAATATCAATTGAATTCTGTCCCCCATCTTCCATTTCACTCAAGCTGTTGTCATTTAAATTTCTTGGTGGATAACATAAATCATCAGAATCAGAATCTGAATGATCTTGTGGTCTGACAATTCCCTGTTTGGCCAACTCTGTCAAAAAATCCTTCCCAAATGACTTTTGTTTCTTTTTCATTGGTGATTTACCTTTGTCTTCTTTCACCAAGACTTCATCTTTGTCTTCTTTCACCAAGACTTCATCTTTTTTATCATCTTTTATTTTCTTTACTAGAATGGAATGGGCAGAATCTTCAGATATGATCCGTTGAGACAGACTGACATGTTTCTCCAACTCCCCAAACATTTCTGCTTCCATTTCAGCAGTTTTCACCTTTCGGATTTCATCCCGTGTTGAATCTAAAGTAGCCTGAAAATCACGCCTTTTTATAAGTCTGCCCATTTGAAATTCAGCAAAATTTTCTGCCTCCTTAGGCATTTCATTGATACGGTTCCACGAATTCTGTTTTCGTGTACTCTGAAGTTCACTAAGGATTTCATGTTGTGTCTCAATGTTTAGCGATTTGAATTCATTACTCTCAAAATCAAACTGATGAAGGTTTGGTAATTTTAAATTTCTCAAAATATATTGATCCTCATCTTCAGAATCTTCAGATTTTACAGATGTCACACTATCATCCATCTCTGGCTTAGGAAGTGGTGGGAGTTCAAACATATCCTTTTCTTTCTTCTGAGGTCTTGGTACATGGGCAAGGCTTGGACCAGGGCCTGTCCTTCCCAAAGCTTTACGGACTGCCTGACTTTTCAACAGATTTTTAAGCAGGCGTTCTCGCACAAGCTTAGCTTTGTCGGCAGCAACATCTCGCCTAAGTTTACGGGAAGCTAAGGTCTGCTTCTTTAGATATGGAACACCTCCATCGAAAACAAATACAGGTCTTATACGATAGAAAAGTAATTTGCATATCCGATGAAACAGCGTCAGAAGATGTGCATTGGCAACAGCAGCTCCTCCTGGACCTCTGAAACCTCTGACTGCCTGATGAAGCCATATAGAAACATCAACAGCTAAAATTTTATGCTCTAAGGTTTCAAGAGGAACCGGTACTCCAGCACACTCTATCAGTTTCCAAAGACCTTTCACTCCCATGATTAACACTTCCTAACTACTGTACAGTACTGTATTATAAAAAAAATATAATTTTTTTAAGTAGAAAGCAATATTGGCCAACTGAGTTTGTTGAATTTCACTACACAGGTATTGGCCAGTGAATAATCACGAGATTTAATTTTCTCATTAGTTTTTGGAGTTGTTGGGTTGTCATCTGGCAGAGAAGCTGTGCAAGTTTCCCCAGAGTGGATCCATTGAGTTCTTCTTATAGCAATGCTGTTCTGTTAAGCATTAGAGCTCCACCTGCAACCAAAGTTGAGTATGAGATCTTGGGGAAATTATCGATCACTATAATAAACTTATAATTAGATTTTCTCATTAATAGTGTAAAAAGTGTAAATGATGAATAAAGAATGACAAAGTAATACAGTAAATCCTCGCTTAACATTGCCCCCGACACCACTGTTTCGTTATAACATCGCTGCTCTTTAGATACCCATGATTCCGACAATGTCCCGACCGATTCGTTATAACGTCGTCACAGACTACTTTGTATGGCGCATCACACTCTCTCATCTTGGTGTGCAACGCTCTCTCGCGGAGCGTCACAGCATCCCCAGTCTTCGTTAGGCTTCCACAGCATATGTGCATGCTATAAATACATGTACCTACTGTACTTTAACCATTCGAAATGGCTTCCAAGCGCCCATCAAGTGTTAGTGATGCTAGTGTTGTGAAGAAGCAACGCAAGACCATTAGCCTTGCTACGAAAATGGAGGTTTTAAACCCACCACATACTCGCTCAACCTCTGCCCATCACTGAGTACAATACAAAATGATTTAGTTTATTTATCTTTTTGGATGTATAATATATATTTTCTATTAAAATTCCATTGAATTTATGTATATGTAATGTATTTTATGGGGCAAAGAGAGACTGGGGAACGTAACTAACGTATTTTATATATTTCTTATGGGGGAAATTGATTCCGTTAACGTTGTGTTTTTCAAGAACATAACCACGATGATAAGCGAGGACTTACTGTACTGTAGTTCTCAAATACGGGTACAGTGCAGTACCAATATCAAAGCTTATTATACTCATTGATCATTTCCTCAGAACACCATCTCATATATTGGTTTACCTTTTATAATCTTTATTAATTCAAAAATCAAATAGAAAAAATATAAGATTAATTATGAACATGATTTAAAGAGTTCACAGAAAATGCATGCATGTTACATCATCATTCTTTTATGGCCATTTTTCAAGCTTGTGTGGGGTAGCCATGGTAAGCTGATGGCATCTGTTGATGCTGCATGGTCACTTGCAGTCTCTCTTGTCAGGTTACTAACTCTAATGCCATAATATATGAAAACATTGAAGACAATGACTAATTAATGTCATTTGACACAATAACATGGAGAAAGCAAGTCATGGACATGTCAAGAGACCATTTCACACATCAGGAATAAATTATAAAAGTGACAGACTCAATGGATTTTGCACAATATCAATACAGTACTTGTTCTTATTTAAGACACCCTGCAGAGATCAGTATACTGTACTTGTTATATGTTTACAGAAGAGAGAGTAGAGAGCAGTATCACAAGATTTGGTTTTGATATACAGCACAAAAACATGACAAAGATATTTGCAGAATACTGTATAACCAAGGGCACATAACAACACAAACATTATAAAAAGGGGTAGAGGCAATACACAACTAATAACATATTAAACAGAAACAACAAACTATAATATGATGTAATTTTACGTTTTTTTTGTGGACGCGAGAGAAACCGCTCGGATCGAATGGCTCGTAAACAATGAGATGAGGACAACATCGAATTTGGATAAGGCTACCATTATGCCATACCACTAGTGTGAGCTTAGGGGCCTAATTATCTACCAAACAAAGCATTTCCCCAAGAAATGAATACAGAATCATATCCAAACTCAGTGATGAATATATGATAAGAAAAGATCCATCAAAACAAATTACGCTGTGACGGGTCAGTCGTCAATATTAACCCACAACATTGCTAACTCAATAGTTATTAAGATTGCTTCTTTTGTTTACAGTGTTAAAGTCTACTCTATCACAGTACCTTGTGTACATCACTATGCACTGGTTGGTACAGTCTTTTAATAATGCTTTGAATGCTTATGTTTATCAACTACAGTTAGGTTAGGTTTAATCTCAAAATTACCCTATTTTAATGCAAAACACAGTAAAATAGTGGCGACGGGTTTCTCGTCAATAATTACCATATAGTGCACCATATGCAGGACTTTTGGGGCCAATGTATGATTAGGATGTGCGAATGTGTGGCCATTAGTGCATGAGATGTGGCGAGTGAATATATTAACATTGTGAAATTTATTACTGTGTGAAAGGTATCAATTCGTTCAATAAATCAGTGCAACAATATCAATATCCTTTAATCCTTGCAGGAACTTAGTAGACTAACCTAAATTTCTGTTAGTGAGGTAAGGTGAGTCCTGGGATACTATGTTATTAATGGTGGGGCTACTTCACCTTATTACATATATATACAGGGTATGTTTATGAAAGGAACCGATGAAGCATACCTGATGTGCCAGAAGTAAACAAAGGAGAGTTGGTTTCATAAGAGCTCAGAAGTAATCATAAAAATTATGTCGGAAAAAAATTCTCGTCCAATTTTTGTCTCCAGGAGCTAAGAGAGCATAGTAATGTCTGACAAAAGCACTACCATCAGAAGTTGTTCGATTTTGTTCATTTTTTCCACAGATGTTCTTATCAACTTAGTAAGTACTGCACTTTAAAAGAGGTAACATTTATTAGAACCTTACAGAATCTGACCTAACCATCGAAAGAAACCTACCTAACTTCCTAGCTGGTTGGACCCTCTGCCATATTAAACAATAAGTACTTATTTTGACATCTGGTATTAATAAAAGCAGCTTTGTTGAAGCGGCATAGTGTAATTTTAAGTTTTTTGAGGACGTGAGAGTACGCTCGAACCAAGCGGGTCAGTTGTAAACAAACTGGGCAGACAACAGCACATGCTGAATACAGTAGGCAGATTTTTTGGAGGAGTATTTATGGTAAATAATTAATTTCTTAATGTACAAAGCATGTAGACATATCATTTTAGTGTCATATGATCAGTTTGTCACCATGTTTTACCCAGCAATTTCCCTCATCCTTTATGCCCTGCCCACTACAGGTAAGTTATGATTGTAGAAAGAGGAAACTTAAAAAACTAAAAAAAAAAAAAAAATTATAATTAGACTAAAAAAATTGTCACCTCTTCTAAAATACAGTACATACTATAGTTAATAATAAGAACATCTGTGGAAAAAATGAATAAACTTGAACAATTCCTCCTGGTGGTGGTGATGTTCTCAGACATTACCAAAAGCATTTATGGAAAAAGGTCTTCAAATTGCTGGTTCAGATGTATAACGATCATAAGTACAGAGACAGATTAAAGAACCTGAATTTGCAATCCCTCGAGAGACATAGAGTGAGGGGCGATATGATAGAGGTGTATAAAAGGAAGTCAGGGCGAAAGTAAGGTGATATAACAAAGGTGCTTAAACTATCCAACCAAGAGTAAACTCGCAGCAATGGTTTTAAATTAAATTAGACACATTAAGATTTAGGAGCGAGATAAGTAAACATTGGTTTGGAAATAGAGTAGTGGATGAGCGGAACAAGGTAAAATTTTAGTTTCGGTCATCCCTGTATTTAGATATCCAACATAAACTAATGTAACCTAACATAACCAAACCTAATCACAGAAACCGTCATCTAGGCTAATATACGACTGGTGACCGTCAGCGGTTCGGTAATTATGGAAGGTGATTTTAGAGTTTTGTTTGCTGATTACTGTCACTTCTATTCATTTTCTTAGACAAATGCTTATTTTTCGAGAAATAGGTGAGTGAAGATAGCATCTTACAGTCACTTCATCAGCTGTGATACGACATATGTAAACAATGTATTGTGGCCATCAGCGGTTCGGTAATTTTGAGGGTGTTAATAGACAGTTTTGTTTGCTGATTACTTTCAGTTCTATTAATTTTTCTGTGTAACTGCTTATTTTTCTAGATATAGGTTAGGTTAGGTTTTCTTAGGTTTAATTAGGTTAGCACATTTGTCATTTTTTTCTCAGCATAATAGGGTATTCTCTAATATATATCAGTGAAAACTGGGTATTTTTAATGCCACTTTCAATGAAAAACAGCGGAATGACACAATCCAAATACAGTTTCCACCGTTAGCCAGAATCCCTCAAACCCGGAACTCTCCAAAAGCTGGAATTGAAATCTTCTTGGCAAATCGTTCCCAAAGACGGAATTTTCCGGGGATGGGGTATTTTTTTCCAGCTTCAAGAGAATCGTTTCGTTACCCGGAAATCTCTCATTTCCGGAAGTGCTCTGCACCAATTGTTCCGGCTAACGTAGATATCACTGCAATTACAAGGAACTAGCGTATATCGGCAAATATTTATGACTAACCCGCCTTTTTACAGGGGGTTCCTGACTTACAAACATCCAACTTACCAACAAACGAGGTTAAACTTGAAATGTACTGTATAGTACAGGTATTTTATTTACCCAATGGCATATTTTTTACTTTCATTTACTGTATTTTGTCATTCTATTTCTTTTTTGTTATAAAATAGGTGATTTTAGATGTATATAAGGACTTAGGCTATGATATACGAAGTGGTATTTTAAACATTGTTCTGTAAGTACATTATGCACATAGCATGTGTTCTGGCTTACGTACAAATCCGACTTAAGAACGTCCTCATGAACGGAACCCGTTTGTAACTCGGGGCCCCCCTGTATTTGTTTTGATGTTTATATTCTTACTATATTTTTATCAGTGAGTTCTATTATGATAATCATTTATTTTTATTTTTTTAAACCGCTTAGTTTGGTTAACAATTAGACGACCAGGCACATACCACTTTGTCTTTCTTGGCAGTAATGTAGCCAAGAAGGAGCATCTCCTTCAATAACATTGACTGCTCCGATCGACACCAGTGTACGGTTACGATCCGCACTGTTCGAGTGGCTGCTGTCATGTCCACAAAGAAATGAAAAATTACAACATATCATCGCAAGTTCTTTCCGTTTCATATGCCGGGGGTCCAGGGGGTGGAGCCCCACGGCTAAGAAGTTACCGTAGGTAAGGTTAAGTTGGTGTGGTCTTCTAACACAGCTTCTGTTGCTTGTTTTCTTATCAACTAAGGTTAGGTTAGGTTAAGTTTAATTGAGAAATAACCACTTTTTAACACATTTGCCAAAACTACAACAGTGTTCACTTTCAAACACAGTGAAATAGCGGCATTTTAAAAATAGTTTTATATGAAAACCCGGCAGCGAGTCAGTCAACAATAATAACCAATATACTGTATCTAACTTATATAGGTGGGGGTTAAATTTGGTTAAATCTCAAGATTCCCTGGATAATACCTTCAAATATAGGTTGGAAGGTATTGTTTTAGTTTTGGTCATCCAGGGAATCTTAGGGGGATAAGCCCCCAGCTAGGTTATATATATATATAGGTTAGGTTAGGTTATATTATGTTAAGTAGGTTGGTTAGGTTAGATTAGTTTGGATACCTAAATACAGGAATGACAGAAACTATAATTTTACTGGTTGGACTGATATATGAGCAATAGGGGTCGGGTGTGAACGGGACTGCTTAGTATGGGCCAATATGCTTGCTACAGTTTCCTCCATTTTTATGTTCTTAACAAGTTAGCTAGGGTAAGGCAATATTTCAGTTCAAGAGGAAAAGTTGCAGGGAAAGGTTTGTCAACAGTTATAGCATTAACATGATGAAAGTGCAATCCCCCCACCTAATTCGGTTTCTTCTTGTGGTAAGTTTTCTACCATAGAACCGTGATGTCCTGTCATTTTACTGTGTTCAGGACAGCAACATACATACACAGGTAAAATTTACCCATAAAACATCACCATAGAAATTTCATGATTGCAGAGAACTATGTGCACGTGCTGAAGCAACATGATGAAACCTTCATGTTATGTGAACCATACATGTTTAGTATTCCTGAATACGGTATTTCATAATTAATAATTCTATGGAATGAGAATCACAGTTTTCTGACCTGTGTGTGCAGTCTGAGACACGTTGTGGCCTTGAATCCACTTAAATCTTCAAAATCCCAGAGTCTGTTCAGCTTTGTTATGATGCGCAGACTTGCCACAGGTGACAGCCACACTACGCAACCAGCTGAGCGACAATATGGGCTATTGTTGCCTAGCTGGTTGCTAGTGTAGCATTACTTTATTTTACTTTTATCCTCTTCACCAATGATCGGCTTGTTAGCCGCTTAGGCGATCGGTCACGTCTCTGATTACTTTTCCTTTTCTTTTATCCTCTTCACCAAAAGATCGGCTCGTTAGCCGCTTAGGCGATCGGTCACGTCTCTGTTACGCACTGTTGGCAAGTACTGGACATGCACCGGCTCCTGAATGTACCTGAACCTGCTCCAGTGTTGGTCAAGTCTTGTCTTGAAAGAGCTCACACTCGGTACCGTTACAACACTTTTTGGTAGATTGTTCCAAGAGTTCACAACTCTCACTCCGAAAAACTTTGCCCTCTCAGTTGTTTTAACTTGCGGCTTCTTCAATCTTGAGCTGTGACCCCTTGTGGGGCGAGCGTCCGCCAGCTCCAAATAAGGACACTCGACAGAGTAGTGTCCCTTGAGATGCTTATACACCTCAATTAGGTCACGCCCGTCTGGAGTAGAAGCTAGGCAAGTTCAGGCGGTCCAATCTCTTAGGGTAGCTGAGGTGCCGAAGAGCAGGCACCAGTCTGGTGGCCCTCTTAACATTTTCAACCAACTGACAGTCCCTAGCATATCTCGGGGACTAGACGGGGTGACAGTACTCCAGATGGGGAAGCACTTCACTCTTGAAGATCGTTACGATGGACGGACCGTCTAGACATCTGAACGACCTTCTTATAAGACCCAATAATTTATTTGCCTGATTTACCTTCTTCTTGCAATGGCCCGAACTTCAGCTCATTGTCAACATACAGACCTAGGTCCTTCTCACATTGTCTCAAATAGTGCAGTTTCTTCATCCCGTTGGGACATATGATACTCCTCCTTACCGTTGGTACGCTCCAGGTGCATCCTCTTACACTTCGTGACATTGAATCTCAGCAGCCATTTCCTCGACCATTCTTGGAGCCCACAGAGGTCCTTCTGCAGCTCTTCACAGTCAGCTTGGTTCTTGATTTCCAGACATAACTTGGCGTCATCGGCAAACATTTGTATGGAGGAGTGTACAACGTCAGGCATGTCATTTATGAAATAAACCAAACAACAGCGGGCCCAATACACTGCCCTGTGGTACCCCGCTTGTGACAGGTACGGATGATGATTTCGTGCCATTAATCACCACACACTGCTTGCAGTCATGTAGAAAGTCTTCTATCCACGCTAGGACATTTCCCCGAATTCCGTACCCTTCCAGTTTGATTTTCAGCCTTTCGTGGGGTACATTGTCGAAAGCCTTGGCAAAATCGAGCTAAATATTGCGATATTACCACCCCGTTCCAGTCCATTTACCACCACTTACAATTTACTATCATCAATTACCCCCATTTACAGTACACTTAACACCACTTACATTACACCAACCTCATTTCTTAACACATGATCCAGTCTCTTTCGTGTTTAGGTTTAATTTCCTCACATTTTTTCCAAAATAAATGAGATACAGGCTCTTGCTTCCTCCCCTACTTCTGTTTCCCGTCAGCACAAGCTCCAGTCACCAAATGAACACACGCGTGGTAATGTTATGTACAATACGTTATTCCCAGAGCCAGAGTCGTTGTAAGGAGACTTGAATTCTGGTCTTAGGTAAATTAGGAGAGCATATTATTATTATTATTTTTTTTTTCTGGGAGGGATATGAGATCTTTGTTAAAACTTTGCACATCTAGACATAACCTGATTACAACCTCTAATGAGATGACTGTATATGGATATGTTAAGCAGTTTTAGTATGCACGTCTGTCTTCCCGGATAAGTTAGAGTGGAAAAGTAATCAGAGACGTGACCGAACGCCCAAGCGGCTAACGAGCCGATCAATGGTGAAGGGGATAAAGGTAAAAGTTAACTACACTGCCTGCTACCTATGAGGGTTATTCACATATGCACTAATCATCTATGTTTTTGCGCTGATCATGGCTCCGTTTTCCCCAAGCTGCCTGTGTGTTATAATGACCTTGATGGATGAGAAACTCCTGAGCCGACCATTAACAACTAAACAAGAAATCAGAGAAAATTCGACCTGCTTCCCAAAGTTCCTCCCTTATTACGTTCCCCCTTCCTAACAATCTTTAGATCACTGCCTCTGCTCTCCAATCTTCCCTCCCACAAGCGCACCCCAGCCTAATCCTGTTCGACACAACAAAAGGATCCCTGTGCTGAACCGGCAAACAATTCCTCACCAACTATTACTGTTTCATTATTCTTTCTTCTAATCAAAAAGTTCCTACTAAGAATCAACTCTCATTTTCTTCTCAACCTCAATTCGTCACAGTGGTTATTTAGTCTTTGTACAGTTAATGAGGTCACAGGGAAACACTGAACCAGAAAGACAACGGCACTGTAAGAGCACCTTATAGTGGGTGTCAAAAACCTGGTAGTACAGTCTCACCCAAAAGTTGGTTAACTCTCCCAGCCAGCTACTGCTGCACTGCCTGCTTCAGACGTTTCAAACTGTCTCAGTACCAACCGGAACATGAAACCGATACGAATGAATCTAAAGGTTCGAAGTAACAGACTCAAGTTCATACATCTGAAGCAGGCAGTGCATCAGTAGCCGGCTGGGAGAGTTAACACACTTTTGGGTGAGACAGTTGAGACTATAACGTGGAACAAAACAATCAAAATAACTGCAGGTACTGTACACCCTGACGCAATCCTCTCAACATTACAATCCACTCACTATCACCTTTACAGAGCACTCGATACGACGCAAAAGAAATTCCTGTAAATGTAGACTGGGGCGAGGTATTCAGTCTTACCTAGAAACAACACTCAGCAGCATTAAAAGCTTCCTGTGATCGGTAGACTTGAGTGCTCGTCAGGTATTGTGTCCGCCAGGTATTGTGTTCGTCAGGCATTGTGTCCGCCAGGTATTGTGTTCGCAAGACTCTTAATGTTCAAAAGACTTATCGTCCAAGAACAAGTATAGACTGTGTCGCCAATAAGCACAGAATACATGATTAATTTACATGATGGATAATTTATTGTGAACGTTTATAGAACAAACCCGCGATTCTCAGAGACTTGTTGAATCAAGTTTACTCCTAAATTAAGGAGGATATGAGAACCAAGCTACTGGCTGGCTCGCGTTAGCTCTGATGTCATGAGGCTTCTCAATCACCAAAACCAGTAAACACCCAACATGTACAGTCGTGAACAGAAGTCCTGTCGCCCCTTCTGCTGTTCCGCGAACCAAGAGATTCAGACTCATGAACCCGAAGCAGTAGACTTGTGCATTATTCTGCCCATAAATGCTTCAGATTCATGAATCTGAATCTCTTGGTTCGTGGAGCAGCAGAAGGGGCGACAGGACTTCTGTTCACGACTGTACGTATGGAAATTCGCCTTAATCGTATATAGAATACAGAATCAGTACCTCTACAACCTACTAGCGCCCGGCCAAAATTACACATGATAAAAACTTAAAACATCTCGACCACCGGTGAGCATCATAATAAACTCAAACTTCACGATGTTGATGAGGGTATAACGGACGTGCGCCTTTACTGTACATAGAAGAGGCCGCTACAGTCTGTGTACTGCAATTGTTCTGAAATCTTTGTATCTATATTCTGTACTTTAGCATGTACAGTACTGCAGTTTCTGACGTAATAGTGTAAATATGACAACATTATATTCAGAATCAAGCCATAACGAGGAACTCGGAGGCTGAGAGGAAGAAAGATCCAATCTGGAGAGAAGAAAAACTCTCTCCTGTAATTGAGAGGTTATCGCTTCGTCTGAGAGGGTCAAATTCTTCAGCGCAGTGAGATATAATCTGAAACTTTTCGAGGATTTATTTCACTGAAATTCTTACGTCATTTTCCCTTAACTGAGGTTACGGTCGATCTCTACAATTTTTAAGAGTAATTGTATACCCTGTAGTTTGTATTAGTTTATAATACAACAAAATTACTTCCCAACTTATCAGTACAAAAATTGAGGAATATTGAAAATTATAGATCTAGATGTGCCAGCAGCTCTATATATATCACTTAGTAATGAACTCACTGACGGAGAAAAATCGACATACCTGCGCCATGCAGCTACAACCTACCAATTCCAATTTAATACGGCCATCTTGAGACTAAAATGAGTTAAAAATAAAAACTCCACTACCGCCTGACCTAACATTCACACCACATCCCCTGCAGTAGGAGCACATCAAGCACCACAGTGTGAGACGAGAACACCCTCACTCATCTGGGTCAAATGAACTGTGAAAAAAAACGAGCCACTGACTGACATTATCATTTAAAGAACATGACAAAATAACCCATAAATAAATCAAATAAAAAAGAAAACTACACATTAATCAGACATTCAATAAAATGGGTCTTGTTATAAAATTACATAAATCATGAGAATTATTAAAAAAAAGTTGTTTATTTTTTCACCGCACTATTGACCTGGGTGGAGGCAGGCAGCACATCAACTTTAGTTAAGTAGAAGAGAACTGTAAATGGAGCTTTTCAAAAACCTTTAAGCCTTTGTTTACAGCATTGTGTGTTGATGATCCTTTTGCCCTGGGGGGGGAGGGGGTGGGGGGGCTGCCGTGGGCGAAACACGAGCAATGTTAATCATGTTGGAGCCACAAATGGAACAGCTGGCACTGCTCTCTTGGGACTCTGTACACATTACCATCAACTGCTGGTCTCATAAACACGCCATTATGTTCCCGTAAACCATTTATTTGAGAGAGAGAGAGAGAGAGAGAGAGAGAGAGAGAGAGAGAGCCCACCAGACACAACAGACGTGGGGTGGGGGGTTAATACTACATTAGATAACCCTTGACTGAGGACTTTACATACATCTTAAATATCCCTTGAGCCTTTGACTAGACAATAAATATTTGGCCTGTGGTAAAACTGATCTAAGGTTAAAATTTGAAGTGTGATTTTATTTACAAATTATATTTAATGTTCAATCATAATTTTTTGTTTAATGAAGAAAGGAATATAAAATGTTCTTTCCCAGGGATGCTGTCACACACACACACACACACACACACACACACACACACACACACACACACACACACACCAGTCAGTATGAAATTAAAATATGTTGAT